TCCATTCTTATAATACCATCATCATTGATGACAAAAGACTGGCTAACCCTCATGCCCATCTATAGAAGACTGGTTAAATAACTGACCGTCCTGTCCACACAATGGGACATGCTATGTGCAAAATGGTCTCCAAACATTCGTAGTAAGAGAAAGAGGGTATACTGAGTGCTCCCATTTTATCTCTAAAAGTGCTATTTGTGAGAAAATGGAATGAGTTACTGCTACATGAACAACATGGATGAATCTCGAAATCATGCTGAGCAAAAGAAGCCAGATATAAAACGGCACATATTGTGTGATTCCATGTGTATGGAGTTTAAGAACACGAAAAACTGTGCTGACAGAACTCAGAATGGGGGTTACCTCTTGCCAGAGAGTTTGGCTAAAGTGGGGCAAGATGAGACCCTCTGGGGTACTGGTAATGCTCTCTATCTTCATTTGTCACCAATCGAATTAAGACCCATGCATTTTATTCTGTGTAAATTATATCCCAATAAAGGCAAAACAGAGGAAATTAATACATATAATTATATAGATGGAGTACATTTGCACAGATAATTTCTGAAAGAATATATAATAAAGGTATCGGTTGGCACCTTTGGAAGAGGGATTAGAAGACCAGGATGAGAAGGAGACCCATTCCTGGGTCTTTGTATAACCTTGAAGTTTTCACTATGTGCATGTCTTCCTATTTCAATGAAAAACAAGTATAAGTCATTAAAAAAATACTTATCGCAATCTATAAAGAAAACCCACTCCTGCATACAGAAGGGAAAGTCTCTCTCCAGCCATCCACTGAAGATGTGGTTCAGCAAAGGTCTGATAACAAGACCCTCCCCACGGCCAACAAGCCAGAGTTTGCTGAGGAGGTGGGAGAACTGTCCTGTCCCCACACAGCTGCCCCTACCAGTGTGGGAGGAGAGATGAGTCATGGCCATTAAGCCCCCTTGGCCTGGTGGGTGTGGCAGGCCTCGCAGCAAGCGGGGAAGGCCAGGACCCCAGGTTAAAGTACTCCCCTGGACCTCACCCCGGACCCACCCCATCAGAACACCCACATGCCCAAGAGTCTACATTTCTTTACTTTTTAAAAAACTTTTTGTTATGAACATTTTCAATTACACAGAACATCATACAGAAGAATCCAGCAAACACCAGCAATCAGATTCAATTGTCCACATTCGGCCATATCTGCCTCACGCCTTTCCCTCTCTTCATTGAACTGAACCATTTAAAAGTGAACTTTCTCTCATGAGCGTACAAGTGGAATTTTCCACAGGCTACAGGACACGTGATATGGCAACAGATTGACTGTAGAACAAGGTATGAGAGCTCATCTGTCTTCTGTTCAGCCATAGATTAAAGAGATACCAAAAAATGTTTAAAAAAAAGAAAAGAAAAAAATTAAATTATTGATACCATGACACTTCATCTCTACATACTTCAGCATGCATCTCCAAAAACCACGACTCTTCTACACAAACACATGTATTAGCTATCTACTGCTGCATAACTACCCCAAACACAGCGGCAGGAAACAACGTGTCTTATCTCCCCGTTTCTGTGTCAGATCCAGGAGTGGCTCAGCTGGGCCCCTCCACTCCAGGCCTCTCAGCAGGCTGCAACCACCTCAAGGCTCAGTGGGGGGAATGGGGTTAAAGGAGCTGCTTCCAAGCTCACTCATGCTGCTGTTGGGTTCGAGGGCTGTTGGACCGAGGACCTCAGGTCCTCCCCACACCAGAGGGACCTTTCTCTAAGGCTGCTCACGACATGGTAGCTCCCTCGTTCCATGTGCACCATCCAAGAGAAAACACACCCAAGGCAGAAGCCAGAGTCCCTTTGTCCCCTCATCTCAGAAGCGCCTTCTCATCACTGCTGCTGTATTGCACCCACCAGAAGCGAACCACTAGGTCCAGCCCAACTCAAAGGGAGAGAATGACGCCAAGTTGTGGCTGCCAGCGGGTGGGGATCGCTGGGCCCATGTGAGGGGCTGCCGGCCACACCATAGATGCTCATGTCTCATCAAAGCAACAGTAGTCTCCTCGTATCATCTAATAGCCTGTCACAACAAAATGTCTCCAAGTGTCCCTAAAATGCCTATTACACATGTTTATTCAGGCCAGGATCCAATCAGGGGCCACAGGTTGTATTTGGCTATTCAGTCTCTCAAGCCTTGTTTGATGGAAAATACCGTAGCTCCCTTTTTAAAATGTTCTTTCTTAATATTGACTTGTCGAAGAGACAAGGCCAGATGGCTCACAGAGAGCGCCAAGCCATGCCAAGGCACACGGGAGTTTGAGGCCTGCTCTGGGATAGCCTGGGGGGGCCTGAGGCCAGCTGCTTCCAGCTCCATCTCACTGAAAGCCAAGCCTCCCCTAGGGGGGCTTTCCTAAGCCCTCCCAGGACACAAATTTTTATGGGGCCAGGAAGGAGGAGAGGGTGAGGACAGAGAGAGAGAGGGAGAGAGAGCACCGATGGCAAGGGAATGTGGGGAGGAGCTCATCAAGGCCCAGGCCTGCAGGACAAGGAAATGTTTTCTAGCCATTCTAAGCAGCCGCCACATACACACACACCGTAACATGTCCCACGCCTGGCAGCGCCACTGTCAGGACCACTTCGTGTCTCTCGGGAGTTTCCCAGCTTGCAGATCCTCTTACACCTATCTCGTCCTCCCAAAAAGCCAAGGAAGCAGGACCAGCAAGCACAGTCGGCCCCATGTGACAGATCTGGCAACAGCTCAGAGAGGCGAAATGATGCAGCCACAGTCACCCTCCAAAGTGTCTCAGCCAGATCTTTAGATGCAAGTCCTGTCCTGAAGCTTAGAGCATGCGACCATCACTGCCCTGAGGGAGTGGCCCTGTCTCAGTCCTGCAGGCAGTTTGTGTTTGCCTCCTCCTAGCTGCGGGGCCACCGCCGCCATCTTGCCCTCATCACGTTCGGTGCCTGCACCAGACACCATCTCATTTCATCCTCACAATACCTCTGAGTGGACACTGTTATTTCGACCCTTACAGACAAGGAAATGGACTCTCAGCTGCCAGGTCTATCCCAGGGCCTGAGATGACACATATAGTGACATTCTCCAGGTCTGTTGAACACGAAGTCCCAGCAGGCTTCAGCACACATTCATCCAGTGCTTTTTTTTCCTGTTTCCCCGACACTCTCCTTTCTGCCAAGCCAGCCTCCCAGCTACACACAGCACACAAACAGCCCCCATCCTTGGTGATGCAAGCTATTTCTGGAAACCCACAGCATAAAAAGGCCTTCACATCGTATTTTCCAATATATACGACACTATGAAAGGGGATCAGAGTTGTGATCAAGGGCTCGGTATCAAACAAATCACAGGAAAATGAATTTTAGGATGTTGGAGCCAGAAAAACATTTAGAGGTCATCTAAATCAGTGGTTCTCAACCAGGCACAATGGAGCCCTCAGGGGACATTTGGCAATGTCTGGCGACATTTTTGGTTGTTACAACTAGTAGGGGGAAGGGATTTGCTAGTAGCATCCAGTGGGTGGAGACCAGAGATGCTGATAAACATCCTACAATGCACAGGACAGCCCCCACGACAAAGAATTATCTGGTCCCAAATACCAATGGCTGAGGTTGAGAAACACTGCCCTAAATCCCTTTGTTACTTAGAGGTTGAGAAAGCTGAGGCCCAAAGACACAAAGTGACTTGCCCAAGGTTACAGTCACAAAGCCAGAAGTAGTATCCAAGTCTCTATTATATCCACCTCTATCGTCTGCTTTGCTCTGTCTAGGTTTGGGCTGGGGGAGAAGAGAGGGTGGGGACCTTAATTCTCGTAACCAATCTGAACCAAAGGAAGAAAACTACAATAAAATAAATTACCAAATTATGCAGCAACAACACATCAGGGTGTCCCAAACCCTGAAAGAAATGACTTCTTCAATTATCGATGAAAATAGCATTGCTTTTCCAGTTCCCCAGAAGTTGCTGGAGGTAGGTCAAATTTATCATGATGTGAGTTCCAATACGGTTTACTGACTCTAAGGCTTCCAGAGGGGGCAGGTTTTACAGGAAAGAATGCCACATTCTCCTCCTAAGGGTGCCCACACATGTCCTGGCTATGGTTTCCTTTTGACTCTGAGAAAGGAATATAAATGCAGGTTGGAAACTGGAAAATACCCCCCACTGTCATGCAAGAACTGAAGAGTCACCTGACCCCCAACCCCCATCTGCCGCTGAGTCACCAAGTCCCTTCATTCACCAAGCTAATTATCCAGCAAGGGAATTAAAAAGAACACTGGGAATTCTTAGGTTTTGGTGTTATTTCCACGCCCAGTCTCTGCTAAAGATCATTTTGTTCTTAGATATGTAGCTGTCTCTTACACTCAACATGTTATCTTTGGAGGCTGCAATTTATTTTATTTTATTGGATACTGTTATTTTTAAATCTACTTAAAATGCCTGCAAGAAAAAAAAGAATACATCTCTGATGTACGCCCTGTAAACGCTGGAACCTTGCAAAATAATGCAAACCGATTTAGGTTGCACATCTAGTTCTTAAATTGCTAACCAAGAAGTTTCCATTCCCCAGCATGCTTTTGCTTTGAAAGAAATGAGGCTAACTACTGAGGGCCAATCACTGTGATCAGTAAACATGTCATCATTTGAGAAGCACAATGACAGTGGGAAGACAGTCGATAGGTATCTCTTAAAAGCCTCTCTCTCTCCTTAGAATGCACGCAGTGCGGTCACTCTATTTTTTTTCCCCTCTTGAGCAAGACGCCCCTGCCTTCCTGTCTGGCCCCTGCCCGCTTTCTCAGGGTGGGAACGCCGAGCCCCAAGTCACGCGTGTGCCCGCATCAGGCCACCCCCTGCCGGGTGCGTGCAGCAGCCCCAGCAGCAGCACAGTTGTGGGCGGCAAGCGCCGCCGCAGCCCGAGGCCCCGCTTTCGGTTCCTGGGGGACCGCCAGATCGCAGACCCGCGGGCGGGGGGCGCCAGGGAGGGGTGCGGGCGCCGCGAGCCCCTTACCTGCAGTGCCGCATCGCGCCGCTCGGCCGCCCACCTGGACAGCATCCTAGAGCATCCTTTCTTCAGCGCGACGGCTGCGAGCGCCGTGACGTCACGGCGGGGCGGGCCCCACGCTGCCACGTGACGCCTTCGGGCGAGGCGGGAGGTCGGCGCGGGGTCGAGGGAAAGACCCTGGAAGTCCCCGGAGGTCCGGGGCGAGTGGCCTCAAATCCTCCCTCGGGAGGGCTTTATGCTCGACGTGTGCAGCTCGCCTGGCCTTCCCCGAAGAATTACAAGACACAAACAGCACACAAGAGAAATCCAAATTATTACAGGCTCCGAGCGCCTAATAGGATTTCAAAAGAACTAGCAATGAGGGGATTATAGTGAAAGGAAATATAATGTAGTGTTTTATTTTAAAACCAGTATTTATCAAATGCAGTGGTGAAATAAATCTATTTTGTGCAAATCAAAATGACACTTAAAATATAGCGTGCGTGGACATACTGTGCAGATGTTCAATGTTTCAATCGTATATCAAATATCAAATGCTTTAATTCAAAGCAATTCATTATGGAATATTATACTAATTGCACTGATGAATAATGCTTTAATTACTCCCAAAAGCTGCATTCCAATATTAATTTGTATTTGCCAAAGAAAAAAATGGTACCACCACATATTTTTACTACTTGAATATTTGATGATTTAAACTAAAGCACTATTGTGTTTTTCTATTGCTGCATAACACACCAAAAAAAGCACTATTGCGTGAGCATGGTTGTAGTTGTGTCTGTGTTTGTCTTCTTAAACCTTCTGGCAAGGCATTTAATCTCTCAGCCAAGAAAGAGTTAATTCGCAATAACTCATTATTTCGCATTTTCTAATTTTTATCACATTCTGAAGAAGTGAGTCATTTTACTATCACAGAAAATATGCACAATGTCAACATTTCTCATTCACAACTGAAACAGCCTTGTCTAGAAAGCATTTAGAAAATTCCAACTGATCATTTCGTAAATTTGAAATAGCATATTTCAAACTTAAGCAGTGCACATATAAACTTTTCTTTGGCCAAACCACATAAACGTTTTTGAAATGTAAAAGGACAAAAGCAGAAATTGTTTTTATTTGTATTCCGGTTTCAAATAGATTAATCTACTTTCACTGGAGTTAAAATCACAATTTTAGCATTCCCTTTGCTCACACCGCTGAAAGAGATGTGCAATAGATTGTTTTACAGGCAAGCTGGAGTTAAGTTTACTTGCTATTTATTTCTGCAGCTTTCCTACCTATATTTAACCCTGGCGCTTACACCACCATTCCCTCCAGATTAACCAAATTTCTGTTCAGAAGGTTAATCTCTAATCTGGGGATAAATACAGCCCTTGCCTCTCACAACTATCTATTATTTTCAACAGCAGGTTTTAAAAATCAACAAAGTGGCAGTGTGGTTTTCTAGGTCACTCCTCTCGAGTTTGTTTTTCTGAGTGATAAGCAACTTACCTTCGGCTTTCAGATTCTGAGATACAAAGTTAAAATGCTACCGAAATCCCCTGCTCCTTTGGGTTGAGGGTCTGAAGGAGGCAGAAACTGACAAGCTCATTTTCCTGCCAGAGGCAAATGTCGATTTCAGCCTCAGGCACCCAGAGGGCCCGGGAGGCAGGCTGGGAGTATCACGTGCTCCGCCCAGCCACTCAGCCGTGCCCAGCCGGCCGGGTCACCTCTTGGCTTCGGAGGCCCGCAGTGCCAATGTCGTTGGCCTCCTACTCTCTGTGCATTCGTGTCCAGAGTGAGCCCGGCGTCCCCGAAACACAACGCTCCACCCCCAGAGTCTGGGCTGCTGGGTCCACTGTGACCGGAGTTCCCAGAATCTATGGGAGGTGGGTGCGGAGGGGGCGTATATAAAATGCCCTTGCGGTCTGAAGAGCACGGCAGGTGGGTGCGGAGGGGGCGTATATAAAATGCCCTTGCGGTCTGAAGAGCACGGCCGCAGGTACAAACAATCAGGCTCTGTGTTCTGGCTGGGCGGAACCAACTAAATACAGGCACCTTCCTCATCCTGGGGCAGTTTTTTTGTTAAAAGGTTAGTTCCACCTTCTCTTTTTCCAAGTGATTGCTCAACTGTAAAAAAACGTTACAGCAAACAGGCAATTCAGAAAAGACCTAAAACTGGGCCATGCAATTTTCAACAGAATGAGATAACTCTCCCAACACCTTCCACCCCCCTCCCCCGTCACACTGTCAATTTGGCAAAGATTTAAAAAACAAACAAAAAGCAAAACCTGATACCACCCATGAGAATGTAAATTGAGCAGTCTTTCTGGTGGGCTGTTGAGCAATCCCTACAAATGCCTTACAAGTATGCATAATTTGACCAATTACTCTGGGCCCCAACAGCTGTTGTTCCTGCATTTGCTCCCGAAATTTTATATCCAGGAATTTTCCCTAGGAGGGAAAAAGAAGGGTGTGCAAAGAACTGACTAGGGAAAGTTTGCTGCAGTGTTATTCATGATCTCGAAGCGCTGGAAGCAAGCGAAATCTCCCGAAACAGAGGATATGTTAAATTATAAGACATCTGTACAATGGAAGAATTAAAACTAATATGGTGGTAGGTACTTATGGACAAAATGAAAAATGAAAAAAGGAAGCTCCAAAAGTGTTATGTGCTGAGTGATCCGTTTTTTTGTACGTGGCTGTAATATACTTATATCTACACATATACTTTTCTATATGAACATAGAAAATAATAAGGAAGTTAATTCACTAGGGTATCAAACCTGGCATTTCACTGATTAGTGGGGATTAAGGGTGTTTTAAATTTTTCTTCTTTTTAGCTTAGCTACATTTTCTAATTTCTAACATGTATTGCTTTTGTAGCAAGAAAAAAGTTACTGTTTTCTTAAAAGCACTACAGTAGACATGATCATGGAATAACCATTTTTGGCTAATTTTTAATGCAGATTTCATTACTTGAAGATTCTCGAATCTTAACCACAAAGCCCCGAGAGAACAATTCCTAGCCGTCTGAGCTTATTCTGCTCACATAACTCTTTAGGGAAGAAGATTCGGGAACCAGTGTAACGTTTAACATCCGCGTGTCCACTCTCAGTTTCTTTTCATGTAAACTCGCTTCCTATTCTGCTCTCTCTGGAGAGAGAAAGTCAGTTGTTCCCATCCTTCGTGAAAAGATTCTTCAAATAGTTATGGAATAACCTTTGAGCTTTGATCTCTCTATGCTGGCGCTTTCTAGTTTCTTCACAGATTTCTTTTTTATCCCTTTAAATCTTTTACATTTTTTCTCTTGATTATCTGCCACTTTTCTACAAATGTCACACAAAATATAGAACGGTGGTTCTTAATGGGAGGTGATGTTGCTCCCTTTCCCCCAGAGGATATTTTTGGCTGCCACACTGGGAAGGGGGCAGCTGTGTGCTTCTGACACCTGATGGGTGGAGGCCAGGGCTGCTGCTCAACGTCCCATGGTGCACGTGACAGCCCCCACCCCCGCCACCGCGACAATGAAAGATCCAGCCCAAAATATCCATAGCGCCAAGGTTGAGAAACCCTGGTTTAGAATTATTTGTAAAGTATAATTTGATGCCCCAAATGTTCCATTTCCCAACCATTTTTAAGAGTTCCCCATTGTCTAATGTGCTGGAAGCTCTGTTTCCTTATGAATCCCTTCAATGTAGTACTACTGGCATGTGGGGAGGATAATTGCCCGTCTGCGCATACACCATCTCTGAAAAGAGACACAGGAAACTGCTAAGGGTGTTATCTCTGGGAAGGAGAATTGTGTGGCTAGGGCATGGAGGGTGGGTGGAAAATTTTCATAGATTTGGAATGCATTACATACTTAAAAAACAGACATCTTTCAAGGCCCCTTTATATAATATATATTTGAGACCGGGACTTGCTCTGTCACCCAGGCTGATCTTGAACTCCCAGCCTCAAGCAATCCTCCCGCCTCAGCCTCCCAAAGTGCTGGGATTACAAGCATGAGCCACTGAGCCCAGCCAAGTGCCCTTACATTAATGCCGCAAATGCACTTTGTACGAAGCACGTTCATGTCCGGTACGTCATTTGATTCTCACGGCAGCTTGTTAACAGGAGTAGGGTAGGTCTAATGCTCCGCTCCCATTTTGCAGACAGGCTCAGAGACAGCCCTGACACTCTGACACTTCAATTCCCTGGCTGAATCACCCTGTGGTCACACTGGGTCCCCTGCTTCTCCTCCAGGCACCTCTCTGACCATCCCCTCCATCCCTCTGCCCAGCCACAGTTCCCTGGGACCCTCCTCGGAGCACTCGCCAGGTTAGACCCAAACCATTTGCTCACATTAACCCCTGAGTTCCTGGAGAGGAGACAGGGGAGCTGGATTTTCATGTCCGAAAGCCCAGCGTGTAGTACTGTCTCCAGGGTATAATATTTGTTACACCAGAACTAAAATTGTCCCAAACGTTCTCAACCAAAAATTAGCACCTGTAATCGTATAACATCTTGAAACATTACATGACTGTATTACAATATTATAGTCTGTGCTATTTTGCCACACCTCTGCAAGCCTCTATTTTCCCTTCTGTAAAACAGGGAGAAGACAGTAATAGTATCCACTATTTGGGGGCATTTTGAGGGCCCCCTCACCTTGGGTGCAAAATTTAAAGGGACACTAAAAAATCAGTAATCAAGATAATATACTATTTATAAAAATCAAAATTAATGCAAAAATTTACAATACACAAAATATCAAATTTTGTAAAGGCAGGCTGTTGTTTGTTTGACAGCCTTGCATTATTATGCAAAGCGACCACTCATTTCCAGTCAGCTGGGGACTCACGGCCAGCATGTCTCTGAAGGGTGGGTTTCTGTGGGTTGACAATGGCATGCAAATAAATTGGGCCACGTGAAGCTTAAGTGAGAGATTCAAAAAGAGTAAGCAGTGCCTTATGGGAACCTGAGACACAAGGAAAAGTGTGTGCCCCTAGACACAATTATGAAAATATCCTCTTACATTCTGAGCCAAGTGGGAAAAGTTAATAAAGACTCTACAATCAAAACACACACACACAGAAACTACGTATAAAGCTCTACGCGGCCCAATTTATTTGCAGCCTCGATCTGTAGCGCGTGCTTATTCTCATGGCTTTGAACTGCTGCGTGCAGACTTGGACAGGGACGCTCAGCAGCCATCGTCGTGCAGTGTCTCCACCATACGCGGACAACAGAAGGCAACTGCTTTATTGCACCTGGACAAGGAACAGCTTCTCTCACCCCGGACCTGGCCTTTGAGAGAAGCTGTTCCTTGTCCAACTGCTTCGGATTGGAAATATGATTTTTCTACAATTGCACTGCTCTGATATGGTAGCTACCAGCCACAGTTGCTATTGATGTTGCGATTAATTTAACTTAAATAATGGTTAAAATTCAGTCCCTCAGTCATACTAGCCACATGTCAAGTGCTTAAGAGCCACATGTGGCTAGTGGCTACAGTAATTTAGTGCAGACATAGAATAATTCCATCCTCGCAGATAGTTGTATTGGACAGTGCTGTAAAGCATTTCTTTTAAACTAATTCCATTGCAATAAAACAATTTATGTTTATTACCCATGGGATTCTGCCTGCAATTGCAGGGTAGAAAAAGCAATCTGGCCAGAGCATCTGTTGGTGGAAAGGATGGAAAGGCATGGATTCCAGAAGGCTGTGTGCCTCTAGCCACGTCTCAGGCAAGATGCTTCCAAATGCCAAGGAATATGTAGCCACTGCCTTTGGACTTCACCAGGAGCCTGCAAATCTTGTCCCAAGAGGAGATAAGAGCATCCGATCATTTGTTCCACCGCAAACGGTGAGATGCGTGCGAGAGCACAGACATATGGGAACGCTAATTCCCAGAATCCCAGGAAGATGTTACCATACGTGACAAAAGGGACTTTGCAGATGTGATTAGATTAGGCATCCTGAGATGCTGGGGAGCTAATCCTGGATGATCCGTATAAGAGGGAGGTGGGAGGGTAGGAGTCAGGGAAGGAGATGTGAGGATGGAAGAAGGGATAGGGAGATCTGAAGATGCTCCACTGCTGCCTTAAGGATGGAGGAAGATAAGTGAACAGATGTAGCTAAAACAAAAAGACCAAAAATAAAGGACGTACAAAGATATGCAAGGAAAAAACAAATAAAGGGAAAGTAGCTACCACACTCTTGAAACCTGACAAGGTGGAATTGCAACCAAAGAGCACTGGGAGAGATAAGGCTGCACGTGCAATGAGGATTTAAGAGTCTTGCATATCTGTGCACCTAATGACACAGCAACAGCTTTCAAAAGGACAAACCACCAGTGATGTGAAGAAAAATAGAAACACTAACACATATCTGTCAATGCATCCAGGACGGCTCGAGTAGACAAGACCTGAGCAAAGACATAGAAAACCCAGACAACGTGCTCCATAATCAGTAGAGCTCGGGTACATACATCTGTAGGGAGGTACATGTAGTCTACTCCCAAAATTCCTGTCCACTCAGAACGTCAGAATAAATATAACCTTATTTGGAAATAGCATCTTTGCAGATATAATTAAGGATCTTTGAGATGAAATTTAGGGCGGGCCAGAAATCCAATGACTGGTGGCTACATAAGAGAAAGGAGGGGGAGATTTGGAGGCAGAGACCCAGGGAGAAATTCATACAAAGATGGAGGGGCATGGCCACAAACCAAGGGACACTTGCAACCACCAGAAGCTGGAAGGATCCTCCCCTAGAGCCTCTGGAGGGAGGCTGGTTCTGCCAA